AAAAAACAAAAACAAGTGGGCTCCCCCAAAGTCCACGGTATAGTTCGAACACTGATTACAACATTACATTTTCAAATACACAGCACGAGCCACCTATGAATATTTTTACATTTTAATGCAGTTCCCGCAGATCTATGTTATGTGGAGAGAATTTGCTCTGTGGTTTCTGGACATTTTGCAGTGTGGTTTCCATATTGATTCATCTACTTGATGACTTCAGGCCTCATCCAGAAATCTGACCCCACAAAACTCTCCAACAGTCTAGCAGCACACAATCTTGCATACAGAATTCATTCTGACATAATATTATTAACAAAACAATGACAAAACCGCAAGTCACTCATTTTGTATGTGTGGTTAAATTGGGCTCCATCTTGTTAATGAGATTTCCTGATAGATGAAGGTTATGTATTTTCTATGATCTTATAACATCAGCCATTTTGTGCTATAAAGGTACTTATCGTAAGAACACTTAAACACTTCTCACAGAGGTAATGCTTCAGACCCAAAGAGAAATAAAACCCAAAGAGAGAGAGCGAGAGAGAGAGATGGAGGATAAAGAAATGGAGAGAGATGAGGAGGAGAAAAATAACATAGGCTGTGTTCTGCCCACACAAATATCCATAGTTCCCCATACCAGTATGCAGTCGATTCTCTAAGGAGAAACTGGGACCTTGTGTTATGTGCTTGTTTAGAAAAGTGTTCCTATTAAATTAATAATTTAAAATATTCTCACTGCCTCTATTGCAATATACTGAACTTTCCATAAAATTCGCTCAACACCAAAAAATAAATAAATAAATAAATAATAAAATAATAACAAATAAATAAAATAATAATAGTAATAATAATAAAATAATAAATAAATAAATAATAATAATAATTCACTATTTGGACCCATTCAAGGCAAGAAAAAAAAAATCTCATTCTATTGTCTCCATGTTTGCACAAATTGCTTACTCACTGACTACAAATTTTCAGAGGGAACACAAAATTGCAGAGGTGTGTGGAATTACAGTAGGAGGTTGCAATGGCTGTTAGATCATCAGTGGTTTGAACTAGAGACAAAAATATTTGCGCTCTAGCATTTACATACACAGAAGCTTTAATGCATTAAAATTCCAGCAACCAACGGGACTTGAGAGCTGAGAATATGTGTGAATATTATTCAAAATTTCACTCAGAATGACAACATTCTGATCACTCTTTTGATTGTCTCATTTCATGGGTTCAGATCCACACAAACTGTCATTAGTGGAATGTTAGTTTCCTGGTATTGCAGCCAGTGATCTGTGAATGTGTTGCATAGTGGTGGCTGTAAAACTGACCTTACATGACTCAATAACATTGGAATATAATTAATAATTGCCAGTGAAAACAAAACTATGTCAGTTTTTGCTTTATTGTACTGAATTGAGTTTAATATCACAAGATGTTCACACGCATACATACTATTCAAATAGAAAACAATGCTCTATTTCCAAAGGCACACTTCTTCCACAAACTAGCCTAAACATTTACGTACAAATAGTGTCGACTTGTCAACAAATTAATAATATTGACAACCTCGGTTTCTGACAATATTGTTGTAATGATCAAATTTGACATGGAACCTGCGCTTTCCTGAGGCTTGTTTGAAGTGCTGTGGTTCTGTGCCAGTCTGAGCCTGTGTTAAGGATTAGTGTATGTGTGACACGGCGAGAGAGTTCTTTTTTGTGATTGGATGATTCCACGGCTGTGGTTACGATGGGCGGGGCTTATTGACATTATCACATATAATTGGCTAATCCTGAATCGGTAGAACATGTGGGCGGGGCCTCGTGACACAGTCAGCTGTGTGTTTCGAGGTGGTCGTCGTCCGCTTCACTGAAAGCAGATTCAACTGTAACTGAAGGTGATGATCAAATCTATCACAAACTGCCCCGAAACAACAATTCTGCTGTTATTTCACTCGTGCGACCTGACGGTAACCACACATATCCTCTAAA